TTCCCATCGACGTGACCCATCTAGAGAGCCTTTTCGTGAGTTGACAGGTTTCACCATTGTGGCTCGATGAGCTTGCTCCAGCTTCACAGGAGTTCACAGGTTTCATCAGGTAAAATATGCAAACCGGAATAGAGCAGTAAAAATGCAGAATGCCCCATCTCTCTCCGCGCCTAATCCCCATGTTATCCACCGGCCATCGCTGGAGCCCCCCCCTCCCTCGCTTGCCACCTTCATGCCACCTCTAGGCGAAGTCTCACCGGCGGGATGCTATTTGAAATCCTAACGACCTCTCACATTTGCTAGGTTCTTCTTTCTGAATTTGCTCCCCTCCCCCTAGAAAGGGAAATGGATTCGAGTCAGAGATTACTAACTGGATTTGAGCGCTGCTCGGCTTGGAGGGGGGAGGATGGGTCATTTTGTACTCTCTGCACTTCCGCTAGTTGTTAGTTGCACACAAGTTGTTAATTGTTGTACACTAGTTGTATTCAAAGCAAAAACATTGAGCTACACTGGTACTTCAACAGTCACTAATTTCCCACTATGGTAGCGGTCGCTTTTCGTCCACTTCCCTCATCACACTCTCGAGGGATTTTGCGGAACGAAAAACCATCAACGTACATACCGTCATCACCACCGAGTCAGTCGGGGTGTGTCAGAGTGTCGTGTGACTTTTGACGCGGCGCCAGTCACTTTCTCATCAGTCATTGAACAACTAAAGCCATAGAAAACGGTCACCAAACCGTTTTTGAAGCTGTTTTGTTATGATAACTGCTGTTTAACGCCGCAGTACGCGTTCCGAATGTTATCGGTGGCGTAACGGATAGCGCACTCGCCCGGAAAGCGTGAGGTGCGGGTTCGACTCCCGCCTGGGGCACGACTTTTGCCCACAACTCAGCATTCTTGTGGTCACCAAACCCTACGTGGCCATGAAAGGCCGCTACTGACTTCAGTGATAGTGACTGCACTTACATTAACGCCCGTCGTACGTTGGGATTCCCGCGAAGGGCAAGGGGCGTATCTCTTTAGTGGAGGGAGGTTAGAAGTCCTACTTGCTTTCGAGAAAAACCTTTGTGGTTTTGATCCCGGTTTTTCCTTTTTCGAGTGCGCGAAAATCCCTCCCGCCCCTATAGAGGAAGTTTTCCAGTTTCTTTTTGGGTAGAAATTGGAGGATTTCCGCGGAAAGGAAAGCTTGGGAAAGAGATGGGAAGTTAGGGAGATTCAGGAAGATAGCGGTAGATAGGATGGAGATAGGGAATGAGGCCATACCGGAGGGCGGATCCTCTAAAGACCCATTTCTTTTCGAAGTATTTCCAAAAACTGTTGTCGAGTCTGGGAGGGAGGTGGGAATTGTTTCGTTTTTGTAACGGGAGAAACCCTTGGAGACTCGACGACCGAAAGATTATTTCTCTAAAACGAATACGAACCTCGCCTCACTCCAGCGACTAACTACGACCCACCCCGGACGACCCCCTTGGCATCCTGTTTATATAACAGAGTGAAATGGTAGCTATCATCGATCCTGTACGCTATGAAAGCGCGTAACGAACGGGTGTCAGTACATTAATGATCGTTAACAATTAAAAAAATTGAAGATACTATACTTCTCGTGGTGGACGACGTGATTCCACAGCATGTTCAAAACAACAACTGAACGACGAGACAAGGGTGCTCGCGATTGTGGTGAACAAAAGGTACCGCCGCCCTCGAAAGCTCCATCAAGGGACTTGATATGTCGAGCGGATCTATCATTCTCTATATATAACCCAAAATATGTATGATTACAGGTGTAACGCATCGCGTTCATTCCGCTTAGGACCGACCTTTTTTCTCACGCGCTCGTCACAGTTTCTTGCTTCCCTCTTGTCTCTTGTTTTTACAAGCCGTGTCATCGTTTTCTTGGAGTGTCTCGTCCAGTGCTTGATGTCGCTAATATGGGGTGAATTCTTTTCATGTATGTCAACCCCTCTTTCTTCTGATCTCGGAAGCAGCACAAGGGTGACAGCCGAGGAGTGTTTTAGACTTGAGAATTGTGGTACCTCAGTGGTTAGTTCAGCCACTATAGTCAGACACAAGGGAGCATTTCATAACAATAACTTTATTAAATAAGTACATACTTACCCTAAAGAACTCAAAAAATCACAGAAAACAATTCACCAGTACAATCAGTGAAGTCGGCGAAATGGTGTAACAAAATTACTCCTGAAATTTCATGGCACAACAAAAAAAGCAATCAAAGAATTTCTAGAGTTCGGTCTTCTGTAGAAGTGAGTAGCGTTTTTCACTGGGCCGCAACTCTTTGAATACTGAAGGCGGTACGTCAGTAGCCATCTGCTTAACGGAAGTAAATGTTAAATTGATTGAAAACTTCAATATTCTGTAAGTAAATGTGCCCTATAAGTTGTAATTGTTTCGTTTTGCCGATCGTGGTTGTCAGGTGAGCGTTCAGACTTTGTGACGACGCGCGTCTAAATCTGAACAATACCTTAGACGTTCGATGCTTTGTGGCAGCAAAGTAGCGCCAGCACCTACCAGCATCAGCGTCTTCCAGCGTCTACAGCGTTCACCAGCGCTTAGCACTAGCTTTCCGAATTTCCCCCAGGGTCAGCAACTAGGAAGCAGAGATATCGATCTAGCGTCTGCCAGCGTCCACCAGCGACCGGCAGTATCTCGAGGCTAAAGAAGTATAGATATCGATCTTGCATCTGCCAGCTTCTACCAGCGTCCAGGGAGTAGAGAGTGTGGGGAAGCAGGAGGGTAGCAAACACCTGGGCGTTGTGGAATTGTGGTGTGTGCAACCGCACTGCAACTGCACTACAGCGTACAACAAGACTGCATAATTCCGTGCTTTAGCAGTTATGCGATGTGATTGCAGCACGCCGCAACTTTGCGACGCCTAATCCAGCTGTTTGCTACCCTCCTACTTCCCATACTCTCTACTTTCGGTCGCTGGTGAACGCTAGTGGACGCTGGTAGACGCTGGCAGACGCTGGATCAATATCTATACTTCTTAACCCTCGAAACGCTACTGGTCACTGGTGGACGTCTTCGCAAAGTATGACGCAGCCTAAGCAATCCTATTCCGATTTGAGGAAACGCAAAAAACCATCCTGACGGAGGGGGGGGGAGAGGGTGTGGATTGTCCGCGCGCGACAAGCTACCTGATTCAGCATGTTTATACGTGTTCGGCAATTTCTTTGCCCTGCACTAATCATGAGAAGATATTTTATAGATGGATGAGTTTCTAATATAGAAAACCCAGCACCCTTCCGTTCGCGACAGAGGCAATGTCCCCCCCCCCTTTCCCATGCAACGCCCAATGAGCAGTAGCACTTTTTCAATTGATTCCAGCAAATTCATTCCAGCAAATCGGCTGGTTACCTTGTCTTAAGCCCTTTCCTCAAATATTTATACGCTAAGCCGAGATCAATGCATCATGCTATTGTATAGTATATACGGAAAAAATAGAGTCAAGCTGGCTTACCTCTTCTTCTCGACGATCCTCTAAGTCGGCTTGAATGTTGTGCTCTTGCTTGAACTTCTGTAACTCTTGCCGCTTCACCTCTGCCTGACCGTGGTATCTCTGGTGGAGTACGCCACTGTGCAAATCATCGACAAACTGAAAAATCGTAGATTACGAGAGGAATTGTGTTGTAGGCATCTTCCAGTATTCGTGAAAGGCAGGTACCCCCTAAATGACGACTCGCAAAATTTCACTGGTGAATGGCAAACTTGAGCTACCAGCTTTTGGAAAAGCTTGGAAATTTGAAAAACAGACGTTTATAAAAGCAAAAGCCGTTCGTTGTTCAGTGGTTCCGAACGGGACCTCGAGACAATTAAACCATCAGCCCATTGGTAGAACGTGTTCCAAAATCACTCTATGATTGCAGTTTGATGTGAGACCTCGAAAGCAATTTATGGC